CAGCCCTGCCCAGTGGCGGCGAGGGACACACGCACGGCCACGGGGCACGGGCTCCGCGAGAGCGGGCAGGCACGTGTTAAAGCACAGCAGAGCTGCCTCTACACTACGCTGCCCCCGGCTGGGGTGCAGCACGGGCTCTGGGTGCCTCCACATCCCCAGGACCGATGGGTTCCCCCCTTCTGTTGGGGGGTGGGTGTTGGGAGAGGTGAAGGCGTGGAGAACCCGGCTTCCTGGTGGGTTGTGAGAGGAGCACGTGGGTCTGAGCTTTTCCATCTCTACTCTGTTATGGCTTTGACAGATCTTCTGTAAATAGGCTCAACACAAAGTTTCTGCCCAGGCTCACCCTCTGCTGATCACCACCATCACAGCCGTGACAGCCAGAAGCAATTACGTCCCTGTACCAGGACAGCATGACCACCCCCACTGCTGTCCCAGCACCAGCACCCTGCCCTCACCCTCGGGTTTGTAATACTGAAGGTGGGGGAGGACCTCCACACCCTGGCAAGGCAGGACAGGCCCCGGCCTTGATGCCCGCCTGCTCCCAAGAATCGCCTCTGCAGCACTTCACCGGCTCTGCCCGAACCACCGGCACCCCAGAAGGTGGCACTTGCATCTCTCCTGGCAGAGCTGCGTTTGTGAGAAGGGACATTTCAGGAGACAGCCCTTGCTGCTTCCATCAGCGAGCTGCGGTGAGGGAAAGCAAGAGGAAAAGGAGGCGAGGGCTCTACTGATGAGGAAAAGCCACCCCGGGGACTGGTGGCTCTGGGGTCCCAGGGACGATGTGCCAGCAGCTCAGGCGCGGGTGGCTCACGCCAGCGTCCCCAGGGCAGAGCAGGGCTGGTTCCACGCTCCCTGCGCACAACACGCCGTTCCCAGCGGCTCACGGTCACTGGTGACCTTGCACCTCCCGCATCAGGGGTGCGAAACCCCTGCCAGCAAACCCAGGAGGCTGCTGCCGTCGCACTGGTCAGTTACAAAATCCTTCCAGAAGAGCAGGTGAAGAGCTAAAAATCTCACCCCTCGCCAGCACGGACAGATTCCCGCGGTAACACGGCTCACTGCTGCACAGAGCCGGTCTCCTTCCCCTCTCCTGCTGTTGAACTTCCACACCAGCACAGCCTTGAAGCACATCCCAGCACCAGGGTCAGAGCAGCGAGAAACCAGCCACCTTTCCCACCTCCTCCCTGTTAAGCTGGAAACTTCAGCTCCTGTTTGAGTGCTGCTGCCACACATCTCAAAAGGCAGGTGCCTCCCTGGCTGCACAAAATAAAGAGCTGCTGGAAGAGCCTTAGGGGCAGATGTATTTCACTATTCGCATTTGGATGAAGGGGCACGAAGCCAACCTGAGCCCGACATGACTCTGCAAATCAGCTATCAACTAGAAAGCACCTCTGTCAAGTAGGACAGGGAGAGGAAAAAAAGAAAAGGAAAAAATGGAAAAAACCCCAAACCAAACCATCACCAACCAGGATCAAAATGTGGTAGTTTGCTCCCTCTGAAAGGATGAAAGACAAGCGACGTCCAACATCAGCAGCCTGGAAGCGCTCGTGTTCGAGCCAAGCTCTAGGGACTTGCCACGTTTCCCGCGCTCAGGTCGGAGCCGCCCTTTGCGACCGACAGAACCGAGGGGCAGCGCCCGGCCCTCGCGGCTTGCAGGATGCGGCCCGGACAACGCCAGCACCCTGGGCCGGCTCTGCAGCTCGGCTGAACGGGCACTGGTCTCCACCAGCACCTCCTCCCCCGGCCCCCACCCTGGCACGGCGGGAGAGGCGGGCGGGGGAGGACAACCGATCCCTTTCGAGCCCGCAGCAAGGGCCACCGCTCCCCACGCAGCCCGTCCTCGCAGCCCCGCGATCCCTCGCAGCGCCGCACGAGGCCGGGCAGAAGGGTCCCGTCCCCGCGGTGCTCAGACCTTGGCACGCGATTCCCCTCCGTGCCGAGCCAGCTGCCTTCCCCGCCGCCAGGCACCCCCACGCCGCCGCCCCTCTGCCTCCCTGACGTGACAAATTTGATTCAAAACCCAACGCCTGGGGTGAGCACACAGCGCTCCAACAGGGACGGGCCAAACCCAGCAGTGCAGACCGCTCAATTTAGCCCAAACCGGGACATTAATATTGCTGCTTCTGGGGCACCAACTGCTCCCAAACTGGGTTTCCAGCACCCAAGCTCTGCCTGTGAGGAGAACGCCTCCCTGCAGCGCTGCCACCCAACAGACCTGCCTCTGCAGGAAGCTTCTCCTTTTTAAACTAAGCAGCACATCTCTCACCCTCCTCAGCTCCTGCTCAGGGGCATGTTCAGCAGCTTGGGTGCCCTCTGCCATCTCCCAGAGGTACAAGAACAAGGGCAGAAGCCATGAAGCCATCAGATGCTCAGCACAGATGCCACACGGATGTGACAGGACTCTGCCTATGTCACCTGCATCACAAATAATCCAGTGATGCCTGAAACAAGAAGGGAGGCCAAGCCCCATCGCAGAGCCAGGGCAGCAAGAGGACGAGTGCTATAAGCCCGAAGTGCTACCAGCGGTATCCAGCACAAGACGCGGAGCGCTCGCACCACTACGATGCACAAGGGAGACACGAGGCGGATTTCTGGTGAAGACAGAAAAGATAGAAACCCCATTCAGAAGCCTTCTGAGGTTTCCCCATCGTTTGCTAATTACAAAAATAAAGCAGGAAGGCAGTGCAGAGCGCTTGTTTGTGGCAGCTTCTCCCACCATCAGCTCCTGGAGCCAGTTCCCTGCACCGTTCATTGCATCCTGCCGGCCCAAACTTGCCCTCGGTGCAGAATAAAGATAAAGCAGCAGCTCTGATTTGCTGAAAGCCAGTTCAGTAAGTGGGGCACAGGAAAAGGCTTCCAAGAGTAGCTGCACCTGGGGGGGGATACTGAAAGCTGGCGTTATGGCTGAGCTTACAGAGGTCTTACCCAGCCATGGGTTTCTGTTGGTAACATGAAAATGCACCAAGAAAAGGAAAGAAATCAGCATTGCTGCAATTAGAAACAGAGTTAAAGGAAAATAAAATACATTAAACAGAGCAACTGTAAAAAATAAACACAATGTGCTGGATGACTCCTGCCCCATCTCCCAGAAGCGAGCTGGGAAGAGAAGTCCTTGTGCTGGGGCTCCAAGGTCTCACAGAGCAAGGAGGAGATCTCTCCAGCCTTCGTCACCCTGTCAGGGCCTGTCACACGTGAGGGACTGCTGCATGGAGCCGAGGCTGCCAGACGGCCTGGAGACCTGCCCGCAGTGATTAACCCCAGCCTTACCACTTGCCTCCTGCTCCTGCCTTGTCTCCCTGTCCCTCCGACCCAGCCCAACACGCGCTGTGGGGCCCGTGCTGGGCCCTTGCTCTGGGCTTCCTCACAAACCTGGCTCCCGTGCTTCAAATGGAGCCGAAAGCACCAGTCCCTGCGGGAAACGTCCCCTGCAGTGGTTTCTGATGGAGGCTTCTGCCTGCCTGGCCCTGAAGTGGTGTGGACTTTGTGCCCATTTCCAACCATGCTCTCTGCCCTGATTGCTAAAGATAGCTTTTTACTCATTAAACTGCATTTCAAGGTGTATTTTGTACTTAGCACTTTATCTCCAAGTTCCACTCAACTCCAAGCATCCAAAACCTCAGCAGAAGATTATCCTGTAGCTGAACAGCCCAGCCTGAGGAGCAAATGGATGTGGTCAAAACATACTCAGAGACCAGCCCCACAAGAAACATGGGGAAAGAAAGAAGAAAAGGAACAAGGAAAAGTGAGTTTTCAGGCAGGTCAGTGCTTCAGAACGCACCACTTACTCCCCCGAGCAGCAGTAACAGCACAGGGAGGCAGAGGAATGCCCAACACGGAGATGTAAGGAGGAAGATGGGGACAAGGCGGCGGCAAAGCAGGCTGATAGGGACCTGCACTTGCCGACAGCACAGGGAACCTCCGCGCTCCCTCGAGAGGCAGACAAGTGAGACTAGTGCGACCCTCGGTCACTGTGGGCCGTGCCTGCGCCAATCCCCTGTGCCGCAGGACCCCCCACAGCGCCTGTGCCCCCGGTACCTGCACGGCCTTGCTGGCACAGCCGTGCCACCCCGGGTGCTTCCAGCTGGCACGGCTGTGCTGGGCAGGGGTGGCGACACCCAGCAGGAGCACCGCTGTCTCTACCCCCACGCTGTCCTCTCCCTGTGCTCTGTGACCCTGGCTGGCTCCCAGCACATCAGGGCCTTTGCTTTCCCAGTAGTCAGAACCACGGCAACCCAGCATCAGAAGCCCATAGCCACCAAAACGCTGAAGGAAACACACGACCAAAGGGCAACACACGACCAAAGGGCAAACGAGCTGTCAAAATTAACTAAATTAACAGCAGTGACGCTGCATTCTGTATCTCTGATGGGACCGACTCAACCAGGAACATGCATGGATTTGGAGACATATTAATTAGATCATGAAAGCAAGCAGCGCTCAATCTTATGCAACAGGTCACAGCACCAGAGAAGTTTATCTAAAGATCTAAAGTAGGGAGAGAGATGAGAGCCTCAGGCTTTGATCACGGACTATTAGTTTGTAATGCTAAGGGAACTACCTCATGCAGTTAGCCCAGCCACCAGCTCTGCCCCTTCAAGCCCCGAGTTAAAAGGCATGCAGCTTATCATTGCAAATGAATTCATTTACCCATGACCAAGGTGGGGAATATGACCTTTTCACGCCTAGTGGAGAAAAATTGAAACAGTTTATGCACACAATAAAGACATTCTGAGGCATAACCCTGGGTGCAAGATGGGGCAAAGCAAACCTCGCTGGAGGAGAGCCTCTTCGACCTCTGCACAGCGAGGCTCTGCCCTGCACGGGCAGGCAAGGGGTCCTATTCCAATGAAACCAGCGCTCCCACCACAAGCCACTGCTGCAAGCGCATGACCCAGATAAAAGCCCAGAGCATTGCAAAGCACATTACAGGATGTGGGATTACTCACCTGCCTCTGAGTTACCCACAGTTCCCTCTTTTCCAGGGAAACTTTTTTGGAAGGTGGACTAGGGAGCAGAAAGAAGACCCTGATTCACAGCCTGATGCATTACAATCAGGGTTGTGGATAACAGTGTCCACTGTGTAAACATATCTACAGGCTTCACGGGACTGCCATACCTGTGCAAGCAGAGGCACTTCCTACAGTCAAACTGTAGCTTGTTTTATTAAAACAAAGCCAACAGATCCATGAAAATAACCTAAGAATAAACATCAACTACAAGGACTTTGACATTCAAGAGTGCAGGAAGGGGAGCAGCGAACAAGGAGTTCGTGCCCCAAGGAACAAACACCCCATTTGGCTCACGTCCTGTCTCAGCTCTGCTGTTCAAGTGCCAGGCCTCTGCAGCGCCCACCAAGGTCAGAGCCATTTTCTTCCCAACTGGATCGAAGTCAATAACCAATTGAGAACAATTACAACAGCAAAAAACAAGTATCTATCTGAGAACACCCTCAGCTGATGTTCTGCCATTCCCTGGCATCTGGACAGACACAGCATGTCCCTGGAGGAACACGTCTGCAGGAAGCTAATCTTACACCGACACTGTTGAATTTTAAGAGTCTGTAAGTCCTGACTCTTCCAATTCTCCAGACAAAGCTTCAGTGCAAGCCCAGTGTCCTCCAGGCCTGCCCTAAAGCAATACTCCCCTATGCCAGCTCCTGCCTGTCACTGCCTTCAGCTGCCTGCTCAGCTCCGCTCGGCGAGCAAAGAGCAGCTGTTTGATGGGAGGTGGAAACTCGTCAAACATTAGCCAACAAAAATGGCAAAGGAAGGAAAGTAAATGGAACTGTAACGATGTGGCTGAGCTACCTCTGTCCCAAGCCCACCACCCAACAACCAGCTGTTCTTCAGGCAGCAGCTGCAGATCGGATCGGATCTATGAACACACATGGGGTTTCAGGCTCCAGCAACAATTAGGGGCAGGGAGGAGAGGACAGGGGCTGGAGAGTGAGGAGAGAAGAAAGGGCATGCCCTGGCTCAGCGCCTGGTGCCCAGCCGCCACCACGCGCCCTGGACCCGACGCAGGCCAGCAGGGGCGGG